GATAGAATGACCCACTTAATGATTGTCAGTTGTGTTTCTTCTCATGGCAATCTAGTACAAGGGTCACAAACACAAAAACCTGCAAGTGTCAGATAGGTATCATAAATAAGGGAAGAGAATTTGGTAAAAGACAATGGCAGATGCTTGGAATTGTGGCAAACTCAGAGGGTATTTCTGACTAAAGAAACCAGCTTTGAGTCAGCTCAAGCTGAATCTTCTATGGTGGACTGTGGGCCTAGTGTTGCTGATCTTCCTTTATTTGTTTTTCAAGCGAAGTCATAAAACCTTCAGCCGTTGGAAGCTGGACATATTACAAAATCTAATCAGATACCTAGTGGATGGTTGATTAGTTAGAGCTTTCTATCAGGGAGGAACAACAATTTGTTCTCAGAGAAAGAGACATTTATTCTGTACTTGGGTTTAATGTTTTGTCAGCACCACTATTGGCAGACTAGTTCAATGCTTTATGCTAAACCACACAACAGTATCTTTAACTAAGGAATTAGCTCAACTAAGGAAATAAGTGAATGGGATGATGATTATGGTTTTCACTGGTCTTATTGTGTACTCTAATACCTTACAGGAGCTAGCCTCAGGGAATGATATACTGACCAATTATTGAGGGTTCAGTCACTACCTTTGGGATACAGCACTATCTTCCAATGTGGTTTAAAAAAAAATGTAGTATCTTCTCAGTACCAGCAGTCATTTATATATGGTACTCTTTTTCCTAAAGCCAAAATACACAAGTCAGGAATGGAGGCAGAAAGAAGGGAGCACTTGTCATGATATAAGGCTTAGTGACGGTTATGGGATGAACTGTGTCCCCTATAAAGATGGTGAAATCCTAATCCCCCAGTATTTGTGAATATGGCTTCATGTATTTGGAAATAGAAATACTGCAGATAATGAAGATGAGGTCATAAGCGTGGTTGCTAATTCATTATGACTGGTGTTCTTATCAAAAGGGGAAATTTGGAACAGAGACAGACATGCACAGAGCAAAGACAATGTAAAGACATAGGGAGAATGCCATATCCAAGCCATGGAATGTCTTGGAAACCAGATGCTAGAAGAGAAGCATGGAACAGATTCTTCCTCACAGTTCTCAGAAGGAACCAACTCTGCTGATACCCTGATCTGAGATTTCTAGTCTCCAAAACCGTAAGAGAATAAATTCTCTTGCTTAAACCACCTAGTCTGTGGTACTTCATTCCAGCAAACCTAAGAAACTAATCCAAAGAACTATTGTTGAATTTCTTGCTTTTTTCCCTCACAAATGGGTTCTGCCCATCTAGAAATTAAAGAACCAGGGAGGAAGACATTCACAAGGGGACCTGATACATTTTCTACTGAATTAAAAGTTGAGACTGCTTTATGGCCAATTAAAGTTCTTCCCTCTTTTTTTCTCACTGAGAAAAAGAGAGAGAGAGGACTATCCTGGAATGATAATAATCAAAGCAAAATAGTGCTGTTGCCACTATAAATCAAAGTTAAAAGGATAGTTACTACTCCACAATAACCACTGTACACAGTAGAAACAGTAAAAGAAGAGATGGAAACAACCATCCACAGGTAGGAACAACATGGCTCAGATTGTTTCCGATGAGGGGTTTGGTTCATTCAGCTCCTGGAGCAAACAAAAACCCACATGTGAGGAATTGCCTATGAGTAAGAGATTGGAATTGAGTAGTGAAGGATGAAGTCCTTCATAAACACCAGCTCAAGCTTATAACCAAGAGAATTCAGGCAAGCCCTAAAGTGAGTACCTACATTGCCCTCTTTTTTATTATTATTTTTTGACACATAGGACATGTTGGTACACTACAATGTATCATTTTGTCCATAAAACATAGCACATTGACAAGGGATGGTGACAGAACTAGAGGAGGCATGGACATCACCCAAGGATACTAAACTAAGAAAGGGTAGCCTTGAGCCTTCCTCTCTGGTTATGGTGACTAAAACCTACTGAGGAGGAGGTATTTTCTGTTGTACATTACTTGCTTATATTATACTGGAAATATGTGCATATATTTGAAATACTTTCAAGTGGCTTTATAAAAAGAAGGTCATTGTGTTTGTTGTACAGCCAATAATTAGAATGTGTAAACTTTGCTTGTTTCTGCTTCCTTCGCAGCATCTGCTCCTTTGTCAGAGCTGTCCAGGCACTCTACCTAACTCTCCTGAGCTATCAATCACAAAACTCCAGAAATAGGCTAAGCCAAAATGATGAGGCTCTCTTTTCTAGGAATTTCAATTGTGAGTAGAGACACACAGGACTATAAGGCCATTAGAATTAAGTCATAAGGTGGCAGCTCCTAACATAGTGAGCACATGAGTTTTCACTATATAGATCACCTACACGCCCAAGTCCCTGGCTTCCCTGGAACTGGTTATTCAGCATGCCATTCAGTAGCCCTCCAATAAATCCACTCAACTTTTTTCCTTCCTTCCTTCCTTTTTCCTTTCTCTCTTCTCCTTTCTTTCTCCCTTCCCTTCCTTTCTGCCTTTCCTTTACCTTACTTCCCCTTTTCCTTCCCTTCCCTCTTTCCCCCTCTCCTTCCCCCTTTTCTCTCTTCCCCCTTCCCTTCCTTCCTCTCCCCTCTCCTCCCCTCCCATTCCCTTCCTTCATTGTCATTACTGTTACTTGCACCTAGAGAATACTGATATATGTATTACCAGGCTTTTTACCTATTTTTCTCAGAATATTTTGAAAGTTTACATATGCATATAGAACATTTATCTATAAAGAGGCTATTAAAGAGGCTATAAAGGTCTATTATGAAAAGCAATTCTGTGTTTCCTAGCATAGAATTAATGGTAAGAGAATATAGTATAGAGTGCTGTTGCTGCATACCACAAATTGTTTCTAACTCGTCTAGCACCGACCCCAACTCTAACCTAACTTTGATAAAATCTCTCCATCAGTGCAACATTGTGGACTCTGGAAAAAAAAAATAAAGGACTTTAAAACAAAGCTGGATAAACAGTAAAAGGAATAGTTAGAAGTGAAAAAACAAGAGTAAAAATGTGAAGGAAAATGAGTCAGTAATGTCTAGGATAGACTGCATCTACCCAGAAGTGAAAGTCTCAACAGGGCCAAATTAGCACAGCCAAAAGGGGACACCCTCCTTCTTCTAGTCCTCTTCACAGCAACCCGTAGTGGGAAATGACATAGAGTATATAGACAGTACATGTTTTAAACCTCTCTCTTTCTCTGAATATATATGTATACATACACACACACAAACATACATATATAGACACATATATATGTATATGTATATATATGGGTCTGAAAATGTCTGGAAAGTTAACATCTCTGAACAACTTTTTATTGTTAAAATGAAGAAGTTAAACTAGATTTCTCACTCTCTCAAAACTAAAACTGTGATTTGATTTTCTTTAAATAGCAACTGTATTTATATGAACTAAACACAAATTATAAATCAAATATTTATATCTCAAATTCTATCTCAAATTTAAAATCTTAGGGAGTAAATTAATTCCATCTGTATCACAGTTTCTTGATCAGCAAACCAAGATGACTTTCAATCCAACAGAACTATCATACTTTTTAAAATGAAGAAACTATAGGGACTTTACATGCTATACTGGCAGAATTAATTTATCTACTCTAATGGTATCTATACATAACAACTGTATTTCTCTCTATATATAGTTTCAATTCCTGCATATAATACACACACACATATGCTTTTTAACTCTGTCTACATTCAATGAAAATATAACAATTTCTATTTTTTTTTAAAAAGGGCCTAGCAAATTCCTATGATGACAAGCAGTAAGTGTGGCAAGTCACTTTTGAGTCTTTCTCTTCTCCAAAGCACTGTTTAACAGGCAAATATTTGATTGTCCTAATGAACTACATAGAAGATAATAAGGTGGTATCTATGGTCCACATGTAGGCTTAATGATACAGGTTTGAGTGTTCAAGTTCTGCTATTGCAGCTTTTTAATATAAAATCAACAAATAATGTTTTAGCATCTAAATTAGAATGTAAAATACCTCATTCACCCTGAGCAGTAATTAATAAAAACTAGCGGACTGTTAGTAAATTCCTATTCAATTCTCCTTCTTTGATATTTTATACTGGATCCTTATGCAGCCTAAAAGTCATCTGTAATTCAGAGTTTTCCTCTCCCATGCCATTTCCTGAGAATAAAACAGCACAAGAAAGCATTTTTAATCAATGAACACGCTTAAATTTCAGAAAACAAAGTGACAACTAAAATGCTCTGAATGCCTTACTACTCCTCATGTAATTTTCAGATAAAACTCAATATCCTGCCTTGAATCCATGTATAGGAACCTAAAGAGCTGGGAATACAGAGATAAAGACAAAAATTAATGCCACGACCTCACATCGGTAGCACTCAGAGTCAAAACCCTCAGTACAAAATTATCTCAGCAATATAATATTTAACAGTCCTTTTGATTTCAAGGTCAGAAAGTGGTACTGCCAACTGATATGCAAAACTGCACTCATCCTAAAACAATTCGTTTGTCAATGTTGAAATAAACAAACCAAGCTCAAAGTCGAGAAATTGCAAAAGTGAGATACGCTGCAGCAGAGGATGCTAGTTCGGGACAGCAGCCTGTACAAAGGGAAGAGAGTGGGTTGCCTTTTCCCTACTTTTATACTGGAATGTGCTTATCCCTGTCCTCTAACAACTTCAGCTCTTGGGGGCAAATGGGTAAGGTGTTGTAACTCCTTCTTTAATAGTCACTCAGGTTCTTCAGTCTGTCCTGTAGGCAATGCATCATTCCCAGAGCAGGGCAAATACTGACCCTGCTCAACTACTCAACTATTACACTGCCGGGTAGATCCATGGCTGCTTCCATCAGCCAGTGGTAGACCGGACTTGCCGTAAACTTTCTGGGATACTACAGCCCTTGAAAAGAAAATCCAACAAGACTGGCAATTCGGTCGGCATCGCTGGAGAAAGAAGGAAAGTCGCTACTGATTACTCACAGTTTGTCTCAGCGATGGGAAGCACTACGACGAGGCACGCGAGCAGCGTACCGCAGCACCCACCGAGGACCCTCATGGCCAGGCCGGCGGAGGCGCGGGCGCGGGCGCGGACTGTGGCGCCTCGCGGCGGAACCTGAGCGCTCGGCGCCCGGCGGAGCTGCAAGGCTGGACTCCGCTGTAAACCGGGACTCAGCCGTAAACCCCTGTGCCGCTGTTCGAGGACTGCGGCGCGGCGGCGCCAGCGAGCGAGCGCGCCAGAGGAACAGTGGGCGCCGGGGGGCGGAGAAGACGGCCCGCTCCCGGCCCCAGCCGCAGAGGGGAAGTGATAACGAGGAGATTTCCAGGAAGCTTTGGGGAGCTGGGGGCAGGGGGCAGGGCTCCGGGAACGTGCTGGAGGCCTAGTAAACACTGCAGAGACAGCCTTCCTCGTCCGTTCCCGAACTCCAGCGTTTTGTTCCAGGTCTCCCGAATGGTGTGTTTTCGAAGGGGCGGGGGAAGCAAACGCAGTATAAAGCTCCAGCGAGCGAAGGTGGGAGGCTGAGCAGCCAAGAGAACTTGGAGGATTCCCAGGATAGGATATCCCTCCTTAGTAGGAAAAGTCGTGAGAGGTCGATGTTGGGGATGAGGACGTTAACTGAAACCTAGAAGTGAATTAGGACTCCAGGGAGGGTTGGCAGAGAACAGAGATAATGGAAGCAAAAGGAATAGTTTTGATCATCACCATTTTTATTTTGTACCTGCATGTATGGTGTTAAAGAAAAAAAAAAAAAAACGATAGCAAAAAACGTTTTGAGAAAAAAGGAGAATGTATCAAATTCTATCACCGTCGAGCAGCTCTTTTATATATATATTACCTCTGCTTTTTGTGGTTGGACATACGCATTTGAATGTTATTTAATGCTTAAGACTGCCTGTGGAGCTAAACTGCCTGGATTTAAGTCGCAATACTCTGCCATTTACTAGTTATGTAACTTTAAGCAAATTGCTAAACCTCCCTGAGCCTCAGTTGTATCATCTATTAATGGAGAAAATAGTGTTAGAATAAGTGTTAATGTAAGGTTTTAAAGAGGTGACACATGTAAAGCAATCAGTGTGTGCTAAATGATAGTACTTAAGGCTTATTTACTTTACCACTTCTAGTATTTAGGACCAAATGAACCTATCTGTTGATTTCCTATGTGTGTGCACAAAACTTGAAAGGCTAATCATATTTCAAGAGTCTCTTCCAGCTCTAGCTTTCTGTGGTTCTGTGATCCAGCTAAATGGAAGTTGATACGGGTCACTTTTTTTTTTTTGATAAGAATATTTGAAAAGGAATTATTGACTGTTTTCGAACCTTCCCTCTTTAAATTCTCTTTCTCACTGTCCAACTCAACCATGTCAGCGTATTCACCACTTTATTCCCAGTCCCAAATCATTTAATTATAAATATAATCCTAATCTTCATAGATTTGTTTTGGTGTGCTAGCAATCATAACAAACAAAATAACCTTTAAGTAACATATTAATTTATTACATGCATTTAGACTGCAAGTCTTTTGAGCAAAGGCTTGATGTAGGACACTCCTCATCTTTGCGAGAATTAAGAGCAGAATATCAAGTTGGAGATCCCAGAATTTCACAAGGTCAGAAAACCTCCAAAATTGTGAATCAACAACTTTCCCAACAAATCATTTCTGATACAGACATTAAAAAAAAAAGACTATAAAGAACATGAAAAAGGAAATATTAGAGAAAAGTGGAGTGAATTCTTAAAAGGAAAATCTTACTCTTCCAAAGACTCCAGGTGAAAGTGAATGGATTTTCTACAGGGAATGAACCAGAATTCAGGCATGCTGCAAAGGAGTAGAAAAAGTAGTATGGGTTTTCCAGGATCCCCTTCGTATGGAGCAGAAATTCAAAAGCAGGACTGCTTTTGATTGAATGACCGTATCTTCAGCATGTTGTTTATGAGTTATACATTACCTACAGATTTTGCTGATGTTAAATAGAGTATTAGTTACAATTGTTATTTAATCTTTGGTTGCAATAAAGTATGTGTGTGTTTAGGGTTTGTTTGTTTTTTTCCATCTGAACATTGTGCTTTTGAGAATTACACTGTAGTTTGGTTTTTAGTATTAGCAAATCAAAACAATATTAACCCTTTTGTCTAGGCAGCAGCTTATTAGATGTTGACTCTATTTTGTAATTTGTATTTTACTCTCCTAGATTCCATATCTGATCACCAACACATACCATTCTTCTCACTCCAACCTGATCATAAAGAAATGCTTGCCAAAAAATAAATGCCAACTAGCCTTTGAGGGGTGCTTGTTACATAGTAATCTACATAGTAGTCATAGATACTCTAAAGTTTCTCTCAAAGGAACTTAGTGTCAGTTTGAATTGTAAGTAATGCCTATTTGTATAAAAGCAACATAGACAATACAAAGAGTGTGTTAAAAATTACAGAAACTATGCTATAGAAATTCAAAGAGTGGAGAAAAGGCTAGGGTGGGTTTGGGATTTGAATTAGGTTACTTTTGGTAGAGCAAGTTTCAGGCAATTTATTCGTTTTTGATGTATAGCTATTCTGGTATTTTACTTGATTTTAGCACATAATTTATAGTTATTTGTTTTTGTGTATTTGTTAATTAGCTGGATACAATCTAATCTATTCTGTTTCGTGTTTCACCTAAGTCACAAATAAAGGTGGTGCTCTAAAAAATAAAAGTATAATACCAAAATTTTAAAAAAGTGAATATCTTTCTTTTAACATTTTATTTTTTTAATAGTTCAAATACATTTGTCTACATTTTCAAGCCACCACTTTCCCCTGACCCACCCAACCCCACCTCCCACCCTCAATCCACCCCTACTTTGGCTTCAGCCATGGGTCCTTTATACATGTTCCTTGACTTGACCCTTCCCTTTCTTTTCCCTGTTACCCTCCTCCCTCCTTCCCTCTCATTACTGTCAGTTTGTTTTTTCTTTAAATGTTGCTGGTTATATTTTTCTCGCTTATTCGTTTTGTTGATTAGGTTCCACTAATAGGTGAGATCATATGGTATATTTTTTTCACCCCTTGGCTTATTTCGCTTAACTAAATCTTCTCCAGTTCCATCCTTGCAGTCATGAATGGTAGTAGCTCTTTCTTTCTTTCCGCTGTGTCCTATTCCATTGTGTAAATGGACCATAGTTTCTTGATCCACTCATTTATTGACGGACGCTTAGGTTGCTTCTAGCACTTGGACATTGTAAATTGTGCTGCTGTGAACATTGGGGTGCATAGGTTCTTTTGAATTGGTGTTTTGGGATTCTTAAGGCATAATCCCAGCAGTGGAACCACTGGTCAAAAGGCAGTTCCATTTTTAGTTTCTTGAGGAAACTCCATTCTGTTTTCCACCAGTCTGCATTCCCACCATCAGTGTACGAGGGTTCCCTTTTCTCCACAACCTCCCCAGCACTTGTTCTTTGTTGATTTGTTTATGATGGCCATTCTGACCAGTGTGAAGTGGTATTTCATTGTGCTTTTAATTTGCATTTCTCTGATTGCTAGTAATGCTGAGCATCCTTTCATATGTCTCTGGGCCCTCCGTATGTCCATCTTGGAGAAGTGTCTGTTTAGGTCCTTTGCCCATTTTTTAAATTGGATTGTTTGTGTTCCTGGAGTGGAGTCATGTGAGTTCTTTATACATTTTAGAGATCAAACCCTTGTCCAAGGTATCATTGGCAAAAATATTTTCCCATATGGTTGGTTCCTTTTTCATTTTGCTGATGTATTCTTTAGCCATGCAGAAGCTTCTTATTTTAATGATGTCCTATTCGTTTATTCTTTCCTTTATGTCCCTTGCTCTAGGGGACATATCAGTGAAAATACTGCTGCGTGGGCTATCTGAGAGTTTCCTGCCTATGTTCTCTTCTAGGAATTTATGGTATCATGACTTATATTTAAGTCTTTTATCCATCTTGAGGTTTTTTTGTGTGTATAGTACAAGTTGGTGGTCAAATTTCAATTTTTTGCATGTAGCTGTCCAGCTCTCCCCACAGCATTTGTTGAAGAGGCTATCTTTACTCCATTTTGTGCTTCTACCCCCTTTGCCAAATATTAATTGACCATAGAAACATGGGTTTATTTCTGGGCTCTCTATTCTGTTACATTGATCTACGTGTCTGTTCTTTTGCCAGTACCAGACTGTTTTGATTACAGTGGCCTTGTAACATAGTTTGATATGAGGTATGTGATCCCTACTACCTTGTTCTTTCTCAAAATTGCTGAGGCTCTTCAGGGTCGTTTATAGTTCCATATAAATTTTTTAAATGTTTGTTCTATGTCTGTGAAATACGTCATTGGTATTTTAATAGGGATTGCATTGAATCTATAAATTTCTTTGGGTAGTATGGACATTTTGATGATGTTAATTCTTCCAATTCATGAACACGGTATATGATTCAACTTATTTGTGTCTTTCTTAATTTCTTTCTTCAGTGTTCTATAGTTTTCTGAGTATAGGTCTTTTACCTCCTTGGTTAAGTTTATTCCTAGGTACTTTATTTTTCTTTTTGCTATAGCAAATGGGATTTTTTCCTGATTTCTGATTCTGATAATTTCATTGTTGGTATACAAAAATGCCTTCAATTTCTGAATATTGACTTTGTATCTCACTGTTTTGCCGAATTCACTTCCTAGGTCAAGTATTTTTTGGTGGAGTTATGCGGTTTTCTATGTACACTATCATGTCATCTGCAAACAATGACTGTTTTACTGCCTCCTTTCCAATTTGGATATCTTTCATTTCTTTTTCTCATCTATCACTGTAGCTAGGACTTCCAATACTATGTTGAATAAAAGTGGTGAAAGTGGACATCCTTGTCTTGTTCCCCTTCTTAGTAGAATAGCTTTTAGTTTTAGCCCATTGAGTATGATGTTGGTTTTTCATGTATGGCCTTTCTTATATTGAGGTATGTATGCCCTGTTTGTCCCACTTTGCTGAGTGTTCTTATTATAAATGGATGTTGTACCTTATCAAATGCATCTATTGATATGATCAGGTAATTTTTGTCTTTCGTTTTGTTTATGTGATGTATTACATTTATTGATTTACAAATATTGAACCATCCTTGCACCCCTGGGATGAATCCCACCTTGATCATGGTGGATGATATTGTTAATGTGTTGCTGGATGCAGTTTGCCAATATTTTGTTGAGGATTTTAGCCTCTATGTTCATCAGCAATATTAGCGTGTAGTTTTCTTTCTTGGCTGTGTCTTTATCTGCTTAAGGGTTTAGGATGATGCTGACCCCATAAAAAAGTTTGGGAGTCTTTCCTCTTCCGGGATTTTTTGGAATAGTCTGAGGACAGGAGTTAGCTCTTCCTTAAATGTTTTGTAAAATTC